GGCAATTGGAGTTAGGTGACTTGCCTAGTGTCAGTCACACAGCTAGTAAGTGTCATGTGTCTGAGACTGAATTTGAACTCAGGTCCTCCTGACTCCAGGGCCGGGTGCTTTATCCACTGCCCCCTAGCTGCCCCTAGGCCATTCTTTCTTAAGCCTTTTGAAATATACTCTCTCCACATCTAAGGTGCATGGTGTAGAGGGGAGAGGGTATAGAAAGGCAATTATTTTCCACATTATTAAGAAAAACTTGATAATATTTAAGGTAGTCCAGAAGTTGAGTGGACTGTCTTGATCTATGGAAGTATGGTATGAGCCCAGGTACCCAAGGCTGGAAGATCCATAGTGTGTTTGTAAGGATGGTGAATAATTAGCATTGTTGGAGCAGACAGTTCATGAAGTAGAGGAGTGGGAAATGAGGCTGGAAAAATTAAGTTGAGACCAAATTGAGGAAGGTGTTAGTTTTTATTTGAATTTCTCACTCACTTTCAGCTTCCTAAATTCTCTTTTGTTGTTTTCACATTCATTTGTTTGTTTACATGGGGAGAAGAATCTTGGCTTAGCCAAATAATCCTTAAAGCTGGCCTGCACAACATATGTGTCACAAGTGGACTGTGGGCCATATGTTGTGCAGGCCTGCCTTAAAACAAATTGATGAAGAATTGGAGAGACTGGGAATAGGATGAGCTTAGAAAAAGATGGATGTAGTTAGGAATTACTGATGGTAGTCTTTAAAAAAATACAGATAATAGTCTGCAAAATTGTATATTTGTGTCGCTGTAGCTGCTCCAACATTAATATGGTCTAGAAGTGAAGCTCACATAGTTGGGTATCTAGCATCTGAAGGAATACAAAGTTTTGTCAAGTGCTCATCTCACCATCTCCTAATCATCACTGTTGTCATTGACTAGTATTGCATTCCTCCACTTCCCCACCAACCTGTTGCCCCCAACAAGCACATACTTCCAAGATCTACTCCTAGATAACTTCAGCACTCTCCTACTTTAATCTTCCAAGAGGATACCATTTTCACCTTCTTTTTAAATTCCACTCACCTTCATTTTAATTCCATATGAGCTTAGGAGGCTAAGCACTTTTTGTAGAGATACCACCATTACTCAACACATTTTTAAAATTCCTTCTTTGGAATTGCCTCAGATCTACTGTTAAAGCCTCACAGTGCATTCTGTAACTATTAATGCCAATTAATGTTAAATTAAATTAAAAATTAATATTAAAACCAAATTAGCTTACTGTGTGTGTTGTGCTTTGGACATATATTGAAGTTTAAGTGCCCTTAAATAATACAGACACCATCCATTGTCTACTGTAGTAGAGTTGCCCCGATGTTGTCTAGTCATACAAGAGAGTATTACTGCTTTGTAGTGGAAAAAGTACAATTGGAGTCAGAGTGCCTGAGTTCAAGTTTTAGACCTGTATTTACTGTTTATGTTATTGGAAGAGTCACTGGGTCTCAGTTTCTTCATTTTTGAAATAGTGGGTTGGTCTAGATCATAGGTAAGGAGCCTGCGGCTTTGAGGCCACATGTAGCCCTCTAGGTCCTTGGGACCAGCCTTTTGACTGAGTCCAAGTTTTACAGAACAAATCCTTTTATTAAAGGGTTTTGTTCTGTGAAGTTGGGATTCAGTCAAAAGGGGGGCAGCACGTCAGGACCTGGAGGCCTTCATGTGGCCTTGAGCCTGCAGGTTCCCCACCCTTGGACAAGATAGATAATTTTTAAGGCCCCTTCCATCCCAAGCCCTGTGAATGTCTTATGTCCCTGATAGAATTGGAATTTGATGACTGGAATAAGCAAAAGACATTTAATTCCAGTAAAAATTTATTATGTACCTACTTTGTCAGTAGGGGCCTGAAAATGAACTTGTACTAACTTGATAATTTGTTTCAAGTCAGCCCTGTTTGTAATATAATACACCTGAATTCCAACAGTGTACAGACAGAAATATGGATTCTACTCTTTGTTGTTATTTTAGACTCTTTATCCATCTATTTTACCAGTATTATCTTTATTTCAGAGCACAAAGTTATCATTGTTGGTCTGGATAACGCAGGGAAAACCACCATTCTTTACCAATTGTAAGTATTCATTAATTTTTTTTGAAAGAAAATTTAATTGTGACTGATTTTGTTCCTTGTCTGGATGATTTATAATTAGGGAAAGCAAAAACTAAATTACACCTGAAATTTAAGCTGTCCTATAGGGAGGTGGGCTGGACTCTGGTTCTAAATAAGGAATCAAGTTCAAGTTTTAATTCCAGCTCTGCCATTAATTCATATTTTAGACAAGCCATTCAGTTTTTCTATATGTCATCTTTTTTTACCTGTGAAAAGTAGAAAAATAATAAATCACATGGTTCTCTGATCACAGGATTCCCAGTAAATAATCTACCGTGAGTTTTCTAAAGTTCTCAAGAAGCAGCTCTTTTCATGGTTAGAACCACCTCCTCTTATTCTTTGCTTACTTTGTGGTTGGTGAGATTTGGGAATATAAAATATGAAGGGAAATTCATAATATTGTCAGATTTTTTTTGCTTAGTAGAAAAATTGGGAGAATCAGCCAGCAGTACTTTCTAATTATAATATGATGGATTGATTTTTTCCCCCCAGTTCTATGAATGAAGTTGTACACACATCTCCTACTATAGGAAGTAATGTAGAAGAAATAGTAGTTAATAATACACGTTTCCTAATGTGGGATATTGGCGGCCAAGAATCTCTTCGTTCTTCATGGAATACTTATTATACTAACACTGAGGTAATGCTTCACTATACAGTAAAACTTCTATTAACCAGATGCTTGGGAAGATAGAACATTATGGTTAATTATCTGAAATTTAGCTTGAAAACTTTTTTAAAAATTTTAATCTCCATTGAAAATTTTTGTAGAATGAATTCATTTCCTGATTTAGTAAATACAATATCATGAACTTTAATTGGATCTTTGATTTGGACTTCCATTTTGAACATTAATTGTTAATGTATGTAGTAGAAATGAAATGTAGAAATTGAAAGTTTAGGAGTTTGGCTTCAGTGTGCAGATGTCCCAAAAGTTTCAGTTTTGTCTAAATCTCCTACCTTCATCTTGTCATCTTGTCATTTGCCTCTTTTCCCTTAAAGTATAATGCAATAAATTTCTGATTATTTTAGGGTTCTAATTAATAAAATTTCTCTTTTGTATCTCTGTCTCTCTGTACATAGATATATGCTTATGCATATCTGTCTATATCTTTAAATCGGCATCAAACTATGTACCATTTACAATGCTTGATTTTTATTTAGATAATATTGTAGTTGGACTATTCTCAATTTAGTGAAATATTCTTATTTGTCACATAGAAAGAGCTCTGGCCCTGGGTTGTGGCTCTGCCACTCATCTAGCCCTGTGTCCCTGGCCAAGTCACTTGAGCTTGTTCATCTATAAAATTTAGTTAATAACCATCAGACTGCATTCTTTACATAGGGTTGTTGTGAGGTAAATATGTTAATTATGCCAAGTATTTTGTAGTCAAAAGGGACTAATATAACTATTTAAGATGATACTATTATAAAGCAGTGGGGTATAGTGAATACTATACTGGTACTGGATTTTAAGTCAGGAAGACTTGGATCTGAATCCTGACTTTGACTTAAGGTAAATTATTTAACTTCCTCCAGTTTTTCATTTATAAAATGGAGCTGGTAATATCTCTCACCTTCATGGGGTTGTTGTGAGCTTTAAATGAGATGACATATATAAAGTGTTTTTCAAACCTTAAACTGCTAACCAAATGTCGGTTATGATACTGCTGATGATCCTATCTCCTGTAAGCTGTTTCTAGAGCATTGGCCTATAAGAATGCAGTGGTGTAAACCTCAGAGATGAATTGAGAAACTGGCCTTCTTTTGAATACCAAAGATTATGAGTTGATGAAATATAAACCTACAAACACTAGAAAACTACATAACAATAACTGCTTGCTGTTTTCTACTTCCTTATGCTACCCCTCGTTTCCGCCCCAAGTTTAGATCGTATTTTTAGAGCCAAGAACATGTGTCCATGTAGAACACACCTTTCTAATATTTTAGATAGCCATTCACATGTCAAGTGAACAGCAATGAGGTTGATGCTTTGGTTAAAGTGTAGTGGGAAGGAAGGTTCTTTCAGGAATAAAATCACTAATCATCTATTAAGCAAGAGAAGAGAGGAAGTAGAGTACTGAATCTTTTCTTTCTATTTTGTCAGCATAGGAGAGGCTTCCTTAGCTGTAAATCTTTTTCTAGGGCCAGAACCAAATCAAATCAAACAAAAAAGCATTCTAAAAATAATAAATGTTAATTTAAGCAGTTTGATTAAACTCAATCTGTGATTCGTACCACCGTGAACCAAGTGAGTTAAATCTGCTGTGATCCAATTTCTTTTAGTTTTCCAGAGCTCATAAAACTAAGAAGTTATAGTGTGATTCCTGCCAGGCCCTTTATCACATCTTCTAGTCCCACCTCTTATATTTCCATTCAAGAAGTGTTATATTGGCAGGTATCAGAAGGGCCAGGTAAGGTATGTTTTTATATAGACACAGAATGATTCTTTAACAATCACTGCATCAGTGCATAGTAGAGATGTGGTTTGTTCATCAGTCACACTCTGCGCTTTGTTTTTCTTTCAATCCAGACCTGGGATTTCGTTGGTGTAGAGAATTCCTAGGGTGAGAATGCCTTCCACATAAGCAGCCTGACACTTTTATAGTGCTTTACTGCAATAGTTGATAGTTACATAATGTTCTAAGGTTTGCAGGATTCTTTAGAGCTATCCATTTGATCCTCACTGGTGTGGTAGTTACTTTATCTCTATCTCACATCTGAGGAAACTGAAACTGAGACAGAGAGACTTGCCCATAAGGTTTGTGAGTGTCTGAAGCAGGATTCACATTCAGTTCCTCCTCACTTGCAAATTCAGTACTCTAACTACTCTACATTGCATTTTATGAGTTTTAAAGGAGTAACTATGTGATTACTAATGATTTTGTTTTAAAATTATTTTAGTTTGTCATTGTTGTTGTGGACAGTACAGACCGAGAAAGGATTTCTGTAACTAGAGAAGAACTCTATAAAATGTTAGCACATGAAGTAAGTAATATTTCTTTTAAAATATGTGTGTACTTTGTTGCTCAGTATTTGTTCCTTCTACTTTTTTTGTGTTAATGTTGAGATCTCCTTAGAATGCAGTTCAGAAAGAAAACCTCCTCTTACCATGTACTCACCAGCCATGCTGTTTAGTCTTTGCTGTTTCCCAAATTGGAAGTGGAATTGTGACAAGCAACAGAAAAAACGTGGGAGAGTGGTGGCGTTCTGTTGTACTGAGCCCAAGTGTATGGTACGGTGTCTGGCTGAGAGAACCCAGAGAACAGTAGAAGTTGGGAGGTAGATTGTTGTTTCAGTTCTGCCCAACTCTTTGTGACCCCATTTGGGAATTTCTTGACAAAAACACTGGAGTGGTTTATTATTTCCTTCTCCAGCTCATTTTACAGATGACAAAACTGAGGCAAACAGGGTTAAGTGACTTCTCTAGGGTCACACAGCTAGTAAGTGTCTGAGGCTGGATTTGAACTCAGGTCTTCCTGAGTCCAGGCCTGGCACTCTCTCCACTTTACCACTTAACTGCTTTTTTTATTAAGTATTTACTATGTGCCAAACTCTGGGAATAACAATAGAAAGTGATACTGCTGTGTCAGTCTCCAAAAGTTCACATTCTAATTGGAGAAGACAACTCACATAAGTTTATTGGTAGGGTGGATGCAAAGCAGGACCACTGGCAAGGTCCAGAAATCCTTAAGGCAGGGGTGGGTAACCTGCAGCCTCAAGGCCACATGTGGCCCCCTAGGTCCTCAAGTGCAGCCCTTTGATTGAATTCAAACTTCACAAAACAAATCCCCTTAATAAAAGATTTTGTTTTATAAAACTCAGACTCCTTCAAAAGGCTGCACCCAAGGATCTATAAGACCACAGGTGGCCTCAAGACCACTGATTCCCCATCCCTGCCTTAGGGTATTCTGTTGGGAAGGGGAAAGATCCTGATAGGATCCTCATTGGTGGGATTCAAGATGAGGCCATTGGGGAAATATCTTGAAGTAGGCTCTGACCTTGAGAGCCAGGTGGTAGTCCCTGGGTAGGGAGTGTTTGGAGTGAGGTTGCTGAGGGAAGGGATCTCAGGCTCATCTGGTGTTATTGAAAAATTTCAGTTGCTTATGGCCAGTATTCTCTTCTCTTTCCGCTGAACATGGCCCTGATTCTTCTGCTGGCAGTGTTAGTATTCTTCAGGGAAAAGTAATGAAGCTATACACATGGGCCTGCCCTTGGTATACCTATTTGCTTTATTTTCAGTTTAGAAAATACCAGGTGAAAGTAGAGAGCTACTTTCTTGCTGCATTACTATGGTAATGATACATTTCTTACCCGACTCCAAAGGGCTGTTCCATGTTATGTTTCATGAAAGACTAAAAAATTAACTAAAAAGCATACTGTGGTATAAAACTATAATGTATGTAAAGATACCTATCCAAAGTGAAGACATCATTCTTCAGTAATTTTTCATTTATGTAAGCCAAAGCAATCCTTATTTGGTGGTGATCCAATGAATAATATTTCAGGGGAAAAAAAAACCTTTTAGCAGATATAAGAAAAAAAAAACACCCAACCAATTAAGTTTCACATTTGGATAAAAAATGAGGTTTAGTAATAAAGAAATTTAATAGATTTCTTACTGCAAAAGACGATCTTAATTAAGCAAGCCATAATGACTTTTGAATTATTTTATGTTAGAGAGGAGGAATACTAAAAACATTTTATAATATAGAAGTAAATAAATTTGAATATGAACTAGTGGTATAAAAGAAATTAAAATGGTAACTTTTTTGTAAAGAAATATGAGACTTCAAAATTCAGATCTTTTGCAAAAGGCTTTATTCCAATTATCAGGTACAAAAATGCTTTTTACTACTTTGATGCAGATTCATGGGATGTAGCACTTAAGGGGCAGTTCATAAACATTGGACCTTTACAGTACAGGCAAAATCTTTGGAAGGAAATATAATTGAGATTGAAATTGGATGATGATAAGGCAAAATCAATACAGTTTATCTATAAAGTTTCTGATTGTTGTTAAAATATTGGTATATGCATATTAGTACATGCATTTTCCCTTTGCTTAGCTCTCATATTAAAATGTAACACACTAAAAAAAGATACCTAAAATATTAGAGCCTTCTTATATATTGTCCCACAACTACACATACACATACAGTAACCATGACATATTGCAAACTATAAATTATTCTGTATAATCCTATTTTCATGGTATAGTTTGCCTTTTTAGCAGCATTCTGCCTTCAATCACTATCCTTTGGGAACAAAAAGTGATGTGTTTCTGTATTGCTTTCTTAGTTTGGATGTCAGCAAAGAGATAGAGCCATTTCCCCAGAAAGACAAAAAAAGATAGAATGAGAAAAAAACAGACATACCTCACAAGTGAAGTAACAACAGAGGGAGGAAAACCATCTGAGGCCAGAAGGGGCTGGGTTGAAGAAAGCATTAAAGGCCCATGTGAATTAAGAAGGGGACAAAGATAGGGGGAGGGGGAGGGAGAAACCAAGAAACAGGAAAAGTATTAGAAAAATAGAGGAAGAAAAACAGGAGATAGGGTGTTTCACATTAAGAAAAATTCTTTGTAGTCCCCTATTTTTAATTAGTGTTTGATTATAATAATGTTTTTATCTCGTTGCAAAAGATTGTTCAGGAATATAGACCTGTAAGAAAATTTAAACTTGAAACATATTCTTTAAAGTTAAATTTCTGCCTGGTACCATCTTCAAACTGTTTAATTCCTCAGTCTCTTTGCCTATGAATGGAATGCACTTCCTTCTTCTTTCTGATGCCTGTTAGAATCATGAACTTTCTTCAAAGCACATTTCAGGTGTGACTTTTCTGTAGGAGGCCTTTCCTGAAACCTCTTTCCCTACCCCCAGTTGTTGTCATTATCTTCTTGAAATTTTTTTGTTTTTATCCCTGTTCACATTGTTTTTCTGCTGCTAAGATATCAGCTTCTCAAGGCAAATGGTTTCATTTTTGTCTTTGTATCCCCTGCGATCAGCACATTGCCTTTCACATGGTATGCATGGATAAGACTGGATGAATTTAAGATAAGGTCATTGATGTGTTTAACAATGAGAATTGAGAGAGTTTTAAGAACTTTATTCTATAAGAAATGCAAAGAAGCACTGAAGTACTTTTTTAAAAGTTCTTTGCCAATCAGCTTAGTTGAAAACTTCATAATAAATAATCTTAATGATCAAATTGAATTGTTTTCTAGAAGTTTGCATTTAAAGATAAAACTCTGAGAAATGCTGTTCTCTGTAATCTATTATCTAGTAAATGTGTATTCTGTCCCTTGAGAAATTATAGTTGCTTTCACTTTATACATAGAACTTCCTTTGAAATATGATCTTGACTTCATATAATAACCTTATTTTTACCCATTAGAAACAATAATGTTTCTTTTGCCATTTGAGGTTAACTACTTTAGAAAATTGACTGACCCTCCAGAAATAAAAAATTATTGCTTTAAACAGAAGTATTTATTTTGGAAGAGGCAAAATGAAAAACATCGTTCTCCCTCTTTCTGAAATTATTTTCAAGTGCTCTGAATTTGGAAAATCAAAGTTATTTAAGTATTAAAGAAAAATTTCTCCTAGATTTCACTTTCCTTTGCTCTGTTATTTAAATTCATTACTAATGTAATTTAGGACTAGTAGGATATTCAGTTATTAGGCAAGCAGCCAAATAGTATATTTTCATAATGTTATGTGAGAAATCTGGCTATTGGTCTTTCTCTCCTAATTATTTAGCTATTTATATCAATAAATGAGATAAATGAGGTAAAATGAGATGTTGTTAATCAGTTACAGAACTGCTATTCAAGTAAAAGAATAGTAGGCTGAGTAGAAAACAGGATTTTTCTTATTTGCCCTCATCCTTATGTTTAAGTACTGTAAGAAATCATCAGTTTTGCAGTCACTACCTAATACTCTTGCTAACAAGTTTCATTATACTCTTCATTGGCAAGTTTTCCTAATGTTAAAAAAAAAAAGCACATACCGATGATTTTATTCTAGCTTTCATTGACTATGCTAACATTGACCTCTAATTTCTTAAGCCTTTCAAGCCTGTACTGGATCTTATAGTACTCTCGGTATTATATAACTCAGTATATATCCTACAGATTGTGCTCAAAGAAAACCTTTTGAAATTAATGGTAGAATCTTATGGAATGAATGAATATCAGAGTAGAAAGTTTAATGTTTCATATGTGGTCTTGTAGAATGCCATTATTGTTTACCTTGTAACTTACTGAGTTGTATGACAAATGATGAACATACTTGGTCTAATATCTTTTGTATTATAACCCTATCTGAGAATTACAGTACAGCTGCATTTGAACAAAAGGAGAGCTTTATTTCTTCTCGTTAATGTAATTTTATGCTAAAATAGCATATTTATCACAGTTGTTTGTGTCTTTTGTGATAATCTGTAAGTGCATTACAGTGATATGATGAGCCTTGCTTAAATATGGCTAACTATAGTTTAAAAAATTATATCATGCAGTTATGTTCACTTGTTGATTCAAAGAAGTATCAGAAGTTTTTTTGTGATTTTGAAAAGTTTTGAGAAATGAGGGATTTTCTGCCTGCGTTGTCATTGATTTTCCTAGTTGATTATGCCATTTCTGTAAGATCACAGTCCCAGCAACTATACCAAAAAGATATTACAACAACTATTAAGACAAACTTGTTTTTCATCAGGTGCCGTAAAGCAGAACACGTGACCTGTGGAGATATAGGAAATCAGCTCAAAAATTGTTATTTTCAGGAGACTTTTAAAAAAAAGAAATGTATTTATTCTTGCATTTTTGCAGTTTCAGTGGCATTGAGCCCTTGAATGAAACAACATACTAGTTTTATCACCAAAAGTGACAGATACATATAATGTAAGTATAGCTAGCATAAGTTTATAAATCCTCATCATAGGTACTTGCTGGGAAAAGAAAAGTTTGTGTTCTTAATTTGTGAGCCCTGGCACAGTTAATTGTTATAAGAAACATTAATGTGCTAATAAAGTTATTGAAACTTCGCAGGTCATTGTAATTGGATCTAATGGAAAGTAATTCCATTTGATGAATTAATGAGTCCTTGATGATCCCAGCCTTTTTCCACTCTGGATTAGAAAAAACTATAGGTGTATTCAAGATCAAAAGAGTGTTATCTACTTGACTATGTCATTAATAATGAATAGGTAACATCTAGTTATTTTCTGAGCAGTAACATGGAGAAGTAGTAGATTAAGAGCTGGTCTTAGAGTTAGGAAAACCAGGGTTCTTGTTCTGCCTCTTACATGTATTAGCCATATGACCCTGAGCAAGTTCCTTAACTTCTCAATTCCCCAGACAACTCTCTTAAGCTCATGAGTTGCAGGGAAGGTGCCAGCCTGCGAGGATAAAGGAAGTTCCTTATCAGTAGCAATCTACACCGATGAAACACGTCTAATTAACACATTAGCAAAAAAGTTCTACTCTGTTTTTTTTGATATTTTTAAATTTCCACCTGTGATGGTATTTTACAATCAATTGCATCTCTCAGGCCTTTTTTACATGAGTTCTTCTCAAGCCATATATCCTTTATGTTGTATTTATACCGTTGATTTTTAAAGCCTAAATAAAGAACTTTATCTCAGTTAAATTTTACCTTGATTCATTTGTGCCATTATTCTGGCTTCTCGATCTTTTTGGGTTCTGATTACATGATCCAGAATATTAACAATTCTTCTGAGCTTTATGTCTCCCATAAATTTGCTAAGAATGCCATATAAGTCCTTATTCAAGTCAAATTAGAAAAAGAAAAGGTAATTAATAATACAAGAAAATAATATAAGAATGATACAAGGAAGCACATGGTTAACTGCCACATCAATAGTGTGGACAGTGCTGTAAGTTCAGAGGAAGGGCACATCTTTGAATTAGAATGGTACAAGAAGGCTTCATTTTGAAGAAGGATTTGAGCCATGACTTGAAGGAGTCAATAGAATTTGCAGTTGGTGGAGAATAATTTGGATATGGTATAGAAAAAAGCGATGAAGCTGCAGAAATATAAGATGTCCTGTGAACCATGAGGAAGGAGGCCATTTTTATTAAAGTCCAGGGTTCTTATAGGGGAATGTTGGCAGGTAAGGTGGAGAAATAGTTTGGGACCAGATCATGGAGGACCCTACGATGCCAGGCTTACAATACAACTTTTACCTTTATCCTTTTGTCCATGGAGAGACATTGATGCTTTTTAAGCAGAAAAATGATATGATGAAAGTATTGTTTCAGGAACATTAATGTGATCACAAATGTAGATTTGAGAGGGGGGTTTGAGATAGGCATACCATTCATTCAACAAAAGATAATTATTGAGTGCCATGTCTTTCTGTTTGTGTCTGTCTGTTTATATTTGAGTAAACATTAGACAAATTAAGAGTAAGTAGTCAAGAAGTAAAATAGGATCTTGGGTAATATCAATATCAATGGGAAAACAGGGATCTTGCATTCATATAGAACTTCTTCCTGTTTTCAGAGAGCATTCTCATATGCTTCTTTGCGTTAAGGCTTCTGACCCCTCATTAGTTCTGTCAGTGCCTACTAGCTAGGCTTCAAGTGTGGGCCCCACTGGCATCCAAGGCACCGCCTAATTACCATATTGGTAATTGTCACATGGTATAATTCAGTTCCTCACGCCGCTTAACAGGTAAACAGAGCAGCAGTGTATTCACCAGTGGCATATGGATACGCATTTATCTCTCAAACATTGCAAGCCATGAGCCTAGAATTCTCAAGGCACACGCATTGTCAGTATATTTCCGAAAGCGGACTTGGATGGTTTGTTTAGAGCTCTGCGGTACTAACGATATTAACACTCAACCCAGTGAAGAGCCATAGGTGCAAGGTGAGTAGGCAGGCAGGTGAAGCTGCCATGAGTAAGTCATGTGGTATGGTAAGACTTGCATCTTCCCGAGCTAGCTCAAACGTACAGTTCTTCTGCCAGTGATACAGTTTAGTAATAAGTGATTTTTAAGTAATACCGGCACAGTTTAAAAAAAAAAAAAAAGGCTACACATAATGATTACAACCCACCTTTTTTTTGCAAAAATTTGGTATAAAATCTGCGATGATTATGTGGTGAAATATGTAGTCTGAAGGAGACTCATAATCAGAATGGTAGGCTAACAGATGATGAATATTTCAGTCACAGAAGCTCTTGAAGGCCATCTACTGAGGCTTAAGTGGATTGCAGTATGTGTCAGTGGGAGGAATGCCCTTACTGATAAGATCACAACATTTTAAAGCATTAAATGTTTCTCTTATATCATTGTATCTATATAATAACCCTATTAGGCAATTAAGACTAGAAACTGAAACTTAAGTGACTTGTCCAAGTTTACAAAATGAGTTCTAGTGACTGAACCAGGATTAGTTTTAGGTTGTACTATTATCAGTCTGACCTCTTTTTCAATAGATCCTAATGTACAAATGATAAGATGAAATGGAAAAACATGATTGTAAATAGCATTGGATACCATGAAACATGTAGCGACCCTCATTTTTCTGACATATATATGTTATCTGATAATATAGTAACAAGCTTACATATTATTCAGTTGTCTTTTTTGGAGGAACAGTGCAGCTAGAAGTTGGTGCAGAATTAACGTGGAGATTTTAGGATCTAATTAGGACCTAATTATTGGTGATAGAACTTTTATTCTACCACGTCAGAAGTTTTACATTAAAAAAAAGATAAGCAGGGGATAGTAGGCTTTTGTTTAACTTAGTAATAGATACTTGGAGAGTCATTATTCTGTTTTAAATTCTCTATTAGTCTTGTGTTTTGCTTTTTGCTTCTGGAGCTCTATGAGGGGTCTCTATTATATCTGCAAACAGACTTCAATTAGAAACCTCTTATGTTTCCTCTTCTACCTTACAAAAAAGTTTTTTAAAATAAGAGAAATTTAAACTTGTTCATTATTTTTGAAAATGTAAACATTTAAGGGTTCAGGGTTTTTTTTTTAAACCGTAATTTACTTGGCGCTGTTAAATCTTTAAATGTTTGAATTAAATGATTTGGGAACCTCAGAAACAAGTAGTTTTAATTTGTTCTTATAGGATCTAAGGAAAGCTGGATTGCTGATTTTTGCTAACAAACAAGATGTTAAAGAATGCATGACTGTAGCTGAAATTTCCCAGTTTTTGAAGCTAACTTCAATTAAAGATCACCAGTGGCATATCCAGGCATGCTGTGCTCTCACTGGTGAGGGGTAAGAATGCTTTCTTTTGGATATTATATTCTTTTCATCTTCTTTACATTCACTTGTTCTTCATCTTGAAATCAACACATTTATTTCAGACCTGTAATGTGCTAACCATTGTGGGGCGTAACAAGAAAGTATAAAATAGGGTTCCTGCTTTTTCTGTGACCGTAGGACCATAGAGCTTGAAAGAACCTGGGAGGTCATCTTACTTAATGCATTCATTTTACAGATGAGGAAACTGAGGCTCAAATAGATGAATTATTATCACCTGAGTAATAACTAGCAGATCCAAAATTCAAACTAAAGTCTCCTGACTTCAATTCCTATTTTCTTTCTCTTGCACCAGCTAAAATATGTAAAATACAAGTATAGTATAATTCAATACTAAATATCATGGTTTAGGCTATAAGTGCTATAGGAGTTGAGAGAAGTTCGAGATCAATAAGGGCTGAAGTATACAGTATTCAAATTGGAAGACAGAGGAAGTAGCAGGAAGGAGTATAGAGTGGTCCCACTCAAAACTACTACAAACAGAACTAGAAAATTCACTAAACTGAGATCTAATTAGGATATCCAAGGAAAAGTCACAGTTATTTTCCAGCCTAGGTCAACATAGGGAGACAGAGAGGTCTATGGACATTTGGGACAGAATTTGGCCAGAAGCATGTCACGTGGAGCATCCCAGGGCCCAGGGACAATGCCTAAGGCCAAGACAAGGTCTCAGACCCATTACCAGGATCTGATTTTTTGCAGGTTGTAGGAACAAGTGCGAGCTGATGGCTTTGTCACACCCCCCCCTCCAGTTATGGATTTTAATCCAGCAGCATTCAGTGTATTGCTGAGATCCAAACCCAGATCTGGAATGTGCAGAGGTCACTGTGATCTGACTTGGCCATTGATAGACCACTTTGGGAGTACCAAAAGTTTGGACATCCCCAACCTATTCTTGAAATTCTCGAATAACACAATACTGAATACCCCAAGAAAGCCACAACAGGCCCAGAAATGCAGCAGAGCCCAGACCTAATGCCAAATCTGAAGTTAGGAAGTAGGTAGGAAGAACAAGCAAACAACAACAAAAAAGCTGTTATGGTGGCAGGAAGACCAAAGACAAACTCAGAAGAAGAGAATGACACTGAAACATCTACAAGCAAAGCCTCAAAGAAAAAAACACAGCTTGGGTACAAACTCAACTAGAATTTCTGGAAGAGATGAAGCAAGAGTTGTTGGTTTTTTTTAAGAATTAAAATGTATTTTGGTGCAGCTAGATGGCACAGTGCATAGAGCTTTGGGCCTTGGAGTCAGGACCTGAGTACAAATCCAGCCTCAGACACTTGACATTTAACTAGCTGTGTGACTGGGCAAGTCACTTAACCCCAATTGCCTAACTAAAAAAAAAAAAAAGTTTTTATAAATGAAATGTAAAAACTAGAGGAAAATTGGGAAAGAAATAAGTTCTATGGAAGAAATAATTGAAAAAGTAATAAACAACTTAGCACCCGGAAAACAGAATCTCGTTCAAACGACAAACTCTAAAAATTTGAATGAACCAAAGAGAAGCCAAAGTTCATGAGGCTACAAGAAATAATAAAACAAAGTCAGAAGACTGAAAAAAGTAGAAAATACAAAATATCTCATAGCAAAAGCAATTGACTTAGAAAACAGATTGAGGAGAAATAAATATATTGGATTATCTGAATGTCGTGACTGAAAAAAAGAGCCTCATCATCATATTTCAAGCAATCTGAAAAGAAAGCTGCCCAAATCTCTTAACACACAGAGGACAGAATGGGAATAGAAAGAATCCAGCAGTTACTTCCTTACTTGCTCAGCACAGTGCCTGGTACATAGTAGGTGCTTAATACATGTTTATTGACTAACTGACTGATCTCCTCAACAAAACCCAAAATGGAAATTCCCAGAAACATTATAGCCAAATTCCAAGGCTTCCAGGTCAAAGAAAAAATATCACAAGCAACCAGAAAGAAAGAGTTCAAGTACTGAGGAACCACAGTTAACTCTTAAAAAGGAGTGGAGAACTTGGAATATATATTCCAAAACGCATAAGATATAGGCTTATAGCCAAGAATAATTTCCTTAGCAAACCTACTGAGGGGAAAACAGACTTTTAAAGAAATAGAGGAATTCCAAGTATTCCTGGTGAAAAGACCAAATCTGGGCAGAAACTTTGAAGTTCAAGCACGGGAGTTAAACAAAAAATGTAAACCTGAATAAACAATAATAAAGGACTAAAGAATAAAGTGCTTAATTCTAATATGGAAAGACAATATGTGTGTCCCTTATAAACCCTATTATCATGAGAAGTCATGGAGGGAATCTTAATTAGAAGGCCTGGGAGTACTTCTGTTACGTTTTGATGATTTTTAAAAGAAGACTTAAAAGGGAGAAGAGGAATACACTGAGGAGTGGAAGGTTACAGAAAATTATCTCACATAATCGAGGTATACAAGCAGGTAGAAGTCCGTAAAAATGAGGAGGAAGGGGTGGAGAGAGTGGCTGACACTTGACTATCGTTCTCATATGAACTGGTTAACACAGAATTGGGTACAGAAGCACATTTCACTCAACAGGGAAATATGAGGGAAGGGGGGAAGGGTAATTTAGAAGGATGGTAGATTAAGGAAGGGGTTAATCCTAAATTAAACAAACTCTTAAGAATGTATTCATATTATATATACATACACACAAACACATATGTGTGTGTGCATTCATGTGTATATATGTGTATGTGTGGGAGAGAGAGCGCATCACTAATTTCGAGGTGGCAAAGAATGGTAAATTGAACAGGTTCCCATCAGTTGGGGAATGATTGAACAAGTTATGGTCTATAAATGTGGTGGAATACTGTTGTAATGTAAGAAATGATGAAGGATATGGTTTCAGAGAAACCTAAGAAAACTTGCATGAACTGATGCAGAGTGAAGTGAACAGAAACAGAATAATTTATGCAATGACAACAATATCATGAAAACAAACAGCTTTGGAAGACTTAAGAACTGATAGTTGTAATGACCAACCACTACTCTAGAGGCATAATGCTACTCATTTCTTGATAGAGTAGTGAAAGACCCAAAGTGGGGAATGAAACACACACACATATACATAAGCATTCATGTATGTACACATATTTCTATTTGGACATGATCAGTATGGAAATTTAACTTCATTTTGTAAAGGGGTTTTTGAATTTTCTTTTTTCTTATTGGGAGTTGGGAGTAGGAGGGAGAGAAGGCACATTTTTACTGGTTGAAAAAAATAAATTTAAATAATACTCAAAAAAATGCAGTTTAAACAAAAAGAAAGAAGGAATTAAGAACTCTGATTAGTGTAGTGATCAGCCATGGTTTCAAAGGACAAATGATGAAGAATGCTACTCACCTCCTGATGGGGAAGTGAAAGAATCAGTGCAGAATAAGACATATGTGTGTGTGTGTGTGTGTGTGTTTTTCTTTTAGACACGATAATGTGGGAATTTTGTTTGACTGTGCATGTTTATAATAGGGGTTTGTTTTTCATTCTCAATTGGGGCAGAAGGTTGGAAGGAGAGAGGGCAGATTTTTGTGGATTTAAAAAAAGTTTTAATTTTTAAAAGTATTAGAATAAAGAGATAGAGATAAAAGAAACCAACTTCTACATTTTGCACATAAGAAAACAGGTCCAGAAAGGATGGAGTGCTTTCCCAAGGTTACGAAGTTGGCAAGTGGCAGAGCCAAGACTAGGATGTCTCCTGACTTTAGTTTGGTTTTCATTTCATTATACAGGTGATCAGGAAAGGCATCCTAAAGCAGGTAGAACTTGAAGAAGAAAGTCAGAATATTCATGTTGGGAAGCAGTGGGAGAGGGTACATAAATAAGGTCCAGTTCATAAGGACCCTTGAAAGTTGTCTGGAGGATTTGGATTTGTTGTGAAACATAGCTGTTGTGTTTTCAGGTAGAAATTTAGCATGCTACTCCCAAACTTTGTGCAACAGTGGGATAGGGAATGTCACAGAACCAATAGTGTGAGTAAATAGGAGAAAACTTGTCAGGTACCATAAATCACTCAGGCTGGTCATAGTTCAAGGGAAATTGACTAAAGCAAGGCAAAGTACATTGAGTCTGAGGAGACACGGCAGAGATCAGAAACTCAATGAACACTTAGAAACTCAAGTCAGAATCTGGGCGAGAAAAGATCAGGAATTAGGTAAGAGATCTGATTAGAAAGCATGACACCCCAGTAGAAAGGACAGAGCTTGATCATTGAACCAAAATCTTCCCTTATATCTGCTACCCAGGGTTAGACAGTGCTGTTAGCATGTGATATAGGCAGGCCTGAAGTTCAGGGGCAAGGCAATTTTTGGTATATGTGATAAGAGTTGTGTTTTAGGAAGATTAATTGTGATATATCGTGACAGAATGGGTTGTAGTAGGGAAACATTGAACCCACAGAGAAGATTATGAGCTGAGAAGAAGGCCTAGTCTGAGGCTGGTTACAATGGGAATTGGAAAGAGGGAAGAGATTTAAGGAGCTTTCTTGAAAGAAATAAATACTAGTTGGTGCCTGAATATAGAGAACAAAGGAACAAAATGAGTCAAAGGTTATTCTGTAGTTGCAAGCCTAGCAAAATAGAAAGATGTAGTCCTCTTTTTTTTTTAAATTGTTTTATTTATTTATTTATTTATTTATTTTTAGGCAATTGGGGTTAAATGACTTGCCCAGGGTCACACAGCTTGTGGCAAGTGCTTGGTCTGAGGCCGAATTTGAACTCAGGTCCTCCTGACTTCAGGGCTGGTGCTCTATCCACTGCGCCACCTAGCCGCCCCAAGATGTAGTCCTTTTGACAGAAACATGAAGCTTGTTTATTGGAATCCTTTTTAGGGAGGAAATTGGACATGTTGAGTTTCAAAGCACATTAGTGTATTCACATGCAAATAAATGTACAGGAAGTATTTAGAAATAAAAGACTTAGGACTGGTACTCAAGTATGGCAGGAAGTCACACCTAAACATATAGATTTAGTATAGGTCTACCAAGGTGTACAGAGAGAGGTGAAAGTTGAAGCCAGAAAAATAAAGGAGGATATAGATAGAACGGGGAATAGAAGTCCAGGTAAGTCTGAGCCTTAAAGAAGGCTCTCAAGGGGTGAACAAGATTAACAAAATGAACCAACCAAAGAAAACATATGAGAACTTTTCGGTAGAGCAGTGCCAAAGGCAAGTCACCTAAATCTTTTAAGCCCCCAGCTTCCTCATCTGTAAAATTCCTATCTCAGGACTGTTGTACGGTTCAGTTAAGATACTATATGTAAAGCCTTTGTAAAAGGTTCATAGATTTAGATCTATGGAAAGGACCATAGAGATCATCTAGTCATTTTATAGATGAGGGAAATTAGGCCTAGAGGTTAAGTGATTTGCCCAGGATTGCAAATTAGTAATTAGCAGAGCTAGGACTTGAATCCAGTTTCTGTAACTACAAATTCAGTGTTCTCTCCTACTGTGTTTCTTATAAAGCCTTATATAAATGTGAGCTATAATTACCATTAGTATATATTCTTTTAAAATGTGATATATTAACTAGATAATTTTATTTTCTTTATTTGTAGATTGTGCCAAGGACTTGAATGGATGATGTCACGACTTAAGATTAGATGATCTCTACTGACCTCTATTTGTAGACTTTGCATAAATGAAGTGCTGGACTATAATTAACCTGAAAGCTGCAAAAAATTAATGGGTTAGATATATTTATAATAAACTGACAAACTTTTTCTATAAGAAACAAATTAAGACCACTTCTTTGAAAAGAAAAATGGAGTCCCATGTTCCAGTTTGCTTTCATATTAGTTTCTTCTGAAGTTAGGTCTTAAAGCTGTGATTGACATTTCTGTCATGATGAATCCTCTCAGGACATTGTGTAGTCTGTGGTAAGTATAAAGGGAGAGGAAGACAATTTTAACCACAAGAGCTTTATTATCAGTATAACCCTCCCTAAGTTGAATGTTGTCTTTTTGTTCGATTAAGTCAAAAAAACAAATCAGTGGCACAAGTATTCAATTTCCACTATTTTTTAAATGTAATGTTACATATGAGAAAGATGTTTTGCATCAGTTTGTATATGTATTGTGTGTGTACTTCAAATTTAGGTTAATGGCTTTGATTTATATACTAGAGAAGGGTAAATAATTATTCCTAACCTAAGTGAATAATATGCTTACTTATACCTAGAATGAAACCAGTACATAGATATTGATGTGTCACTTATACTTTGTCCTTTGTGTTCTCTGTGTTGTATTGACTTACCCAGAAAAATTTTGCACTGCTTCTTTAAAAAAAGAAAAGAAAGCTGAAAGTTTCTAAATTTAGGGAGTTGGGAGTGGGAGGGGGTCAGACTAAATCATAAATACACACAAAAAGATATGGTACACTGGAGTGGAATTCTTACGCAGTAGTTGATTTACTATTACCAACTTCCACTAATTTATTTCCAGAATGTTTTTTTTTAAAGGACTTATATTGTCTATTTAAGTGAGCTTGTATTTTAAATTATGAGAATACAATTTAGGAAGTAAATTTTCAGAATCAATTATGAGAGAAAACATTTTTAAAAATATGTCTGTCATATGGTGTGACCCTTCAAAAATTTTGGGTTATAGTTAGAATTACTGTACATACATTAATTATATGGCAACTGTTGAATGAATTTGACATCTTTGAGAGTAATGCATACTGTTCTGGTCGCTGAAATGTGGAGGTTCTGCCATTGGTTTGTAGTGGTCTGCTATGGAAGGCAAGAAGTTTTTTTTCACTTTTTTTTAGTTTTAAAACATCAGTATTTTGAGAACATTTAAAATTACAGCTAAGTGACTTATTCCCACTTCTATATTGCTTAATAACTAAGCAACTAGCAAACATTTCTATGTTTAATAGATTTTCAAATGGTTTTGCATGGCACATGACTTTTAAAGTAATCTATATTGAACTTTATTGCCGTTTACAGTACTGTTACTCAAAGTGCTATAAATGTTGAACTGATATTTTTTTAAAAATTCTTAAAGTCACAATATAAGCCTTTGACATAACTATGAACAGCCTTTATACTAACTAATACTATTATCATTTAAAAAATTCCTGTGTATTATATTGGCTTAACTTTAAAATCCCAACTGTTTCAAAACAGTGTAATCCAAATTGTACAAGAAATAACATTAAACCTTAATGTGAGCCTTTTCAAAATTAATGAAGTTATAGGGAGAAATAAATGTACTTATCATAAATAATAATATAGATTTAAAGGTCATTACTACCAAAATATGTTATAAAAATAATAAAATGTTAACTAAGTCAGAAGCATGTGGTTTTGGTAGATCATCGCTTCAGTGTTTAACATTAAGGGCCTGTGTTTTATGTTTCTATAGCCGGTATACATTTTCAAGCTTAAAATGGAAGCATGATAATTTTGATTATGTAACGGTCAGTATGCTTTTAAAGATGAATCATCATTATAGACCTTTATTGATTCAAGCTTTACTGATGTCCAAACTCCAGATATTCATAAACCTTTTTTCACAACCACCTGTTAGGAAGAAGAAGTTATAGTTATTTATCTAATGCTGGTGGTATTTTAGACCTGATTTTCAAAAATTGTAGCAGTAAAAAGTTGAGACTTCCTTAAAGTGGGGGTACATTCAGCATCCTTCCAGTTGTGACTTTAACTATTTTTTTATTTTGGATACTGACATAGGTCCCTTTACTGGCTTCCTCCAAGTCACATTGATTCCAGTATGCTCTCTTCCTAATGTTTTATTTTCCAAATTTATTGTATACTGTTAAATACACAATTTAAATAAAAGTATATTTTAAATATACTTGGTCTTACCAAGTTGGAAAGGCTTTGTGTTGCAGTCAGTGATGAAGTATATCTTTATTGTCTGAGGACCAGTCTGGCTAAATTTGGAGAGACTTTTTCAGTCACAGAAACTCTAGAAGAAAAATTGTAACCTACATCAGTGGAAGGAATCCATATTGTTGAAGTCATGGATGCTTAAGTGAAGTATATTTTAAATTAGATTTTAAAACCATGTATCCGATTGAAGCTGTAGTTTGAATAGTTTCTGCAGTTTGCTGTTGGAATAACATGAGAATGCATAGGATGTGTTACACTTAGGAAAGTAATTTTTTTCCTCTGAAACAAGCTAAACCCCTCATGTTTGTACACAGTTTCAGGTCTGTAACTATGAAAAATTTTCAGGTTCACAGATGAAGATTTAAATCTCATCTTGATACTTCTTGGGTTCATTTCAACAATTCATTTTAATTTTCAGTAAAAGTGAAGGTTTACAGATATTCATAATGATAAGTCATAATTTTTTTTTGCCTTAGGTGAGTTAAAACAAAGGCCAGTTTTTATGTTGTCTTTTTTGTTTGTTTTTGTTTTGTTTTTTAGTATACAGCTTTTTTTCATGAAAAACAATCTTAATTTAGGAGACTTATGACTTGCTTTAAAAGGAGCATTTGCCCTCAGTAATGGTAGGATTAGGCAAAGACATATAACTGATGTTAGTTTTAAGAGTGATAAATTATACTTACGAAATCTCTAAAAATACAGATATTCTTTGAAAATGAAAATTCAACTTTAATCTTAATATAATTTATAAAGTAGGAAATGAATTCCTAATATGTTGTCTAAGGGCTCCTAGATAAGAAATTTTTAGGGCTTGGTTCCATAGCACCATCATTCCAATCCAATGCAAATAAACCTAAGCTGTAACTGTTTTAATTCTTCCCTTTTAGATGTATGATTTTCATGGGACAAAAAATGCAGAGACAGGGGAGATCTAGGTTCTAGGATAGTTGGTGAAACACTTTCTTACTTTCAAAAACTTGTCTGATCTACTACCCAATACTGTGTAACATTGAAGTCTAATTGTGATGAATGCATGTAATATAGCAGTGATAGAATTATGTTGTATTTCCTCCTCCTGGCCTCTCAGAGGTGCCTGGTGAATAGCTCCAGGCTAGTGTAGTAGAAGAGCACCTCACTGGAATCATGAGATAGACCTGTCTAGTTTAGTTTAGCTGGTTTAAGCAAGACACCTGGCCTCTCTGAGCTTCAGTTTCCTCATACGTAAAATGAAGGAGTTTGATCTCTGAGGAGATCCCATAGTGTGATCTATTCCTAATTGTTTGAAGAGAGAGAACCACGATTTAGCTGACTAAGCTTTTTTCTTCAGTATTAAAATACCTAAAAATAGAAATTCTCCTTCTTCTAACCCTAACCCTGCAATATTATGAGAACTATACCATGTTGTTGATTCTAGAGCACAGTCAAATTGGTATTCTTTTAAATTATTGGGACACAGTTAAAATGGCAGCAGATTTTCTGCCTCATGAAATTTTAGATGTTTCCTATCCCTAATCACAGAACAAGGAGAGAAATGAGGAGCAATCCCAAATATTATAGGCAGGAAATGGTCAGTCTCCACTAGCTCAGCACTTTTTTGATTGGACTAGAATTAAGATATGTGTGTATTATCTTTGCCATGTCTCTGTAAGGAAGGTAGTATTGTGTATGAAAAGATGGATACTTGTTTATACAGCTTGGGAGCAGGAGTGGGGTTGGTAAGTAATCATTTCAAAGGAGCTTTATATATACGTTAAAGATTTTTAGCCCAAAGATTATGTTTTAAGCTAATGCAGTTAAGTTCTCATGTATTTTTTTCATAATGTTTAATTAAGAAGAACTCCAAAAAATATTGGAGTCAGTAAAGCATTTTACATGAAAACAGTCTCCATGTAACATGCCTGGTCTTTTATAAAATAAATATAATGTAAATGGGTCCAAGAGAAAGTTGTGTATTTTAAGGGAATTCTGAACTGTGGCTTTGCATGCTGTTTATTTTTGCATATTATGAACAATATTTCTAAAATTTCATTCATACAAAAAACCAAAATGTTATAAAAATACCTTTCACTCTGTAACTTCCCCAAAGCATTAATGGTAGGAAAAAAAGAAAAACCACATTTTAAAACTTAAAAGATTCTATTGACTAAAAATTACTATTTCTATTAAATCTTAATGTAACAGGAAGAATTATGGAAAGCTGAACAAAATTAAATGCAATTAAGAGGCAGCAAAACATACTGGATAGAGAGCTGACCTCTGAGATTGGACTGGGGCCCTAAGGGATTAAATGAATTGCCCAGGGTCATACTGTCAGTATTTGAAACTAGGTCTTCCTGATTCTAAAACTATAGAGTGCAAAACAGTTGCTGTCTACATTGGCAGGGGGAATTTCCATTGCCAGGAATTCTCTACATTAATCAAATCACAAGTCCAGACCAAAAAAGTCCAACCTTGAGATAAGTTATGCGTTATACATGATCAATGGATTAAGCCCCATATCATTGTACTGAAAACTTGCTTCCTGGTGTTTTTTCATGCTCAGTGTACTGTTTTTGGTAGAAAGTGCTCAGAGTCTGTGTTCAAGAATTGCCTAGAATTAATTTGCAACAACTATTAAGTCCATCTAATAAATGTCATCTTGCATATTATCATATATATTTGGCTTGTCAACATAGCTCCCAGTGTTTTTAAGTAATTATCTCCTTTATTAAAAGACAACAGCAGAAACTTTTGAGGTTAAAGAAGCCCAGCAGATCCTAGAACAGAATTTGCTATGACTAGGCATGTTGAACTGATGATTGCCCTAATGAGACCTGACCTTTACTAACTTAATTCTGTTCTTATTTTTAAACAGCTTTAAATCTACAGAAAATTACACCATAACAGATTCTCCATTTTGTGAAATTTTTTTAAAGCTATTTGAAGACGTGAGCTATTCTCAGTATTTGGTAATCTTCACTGAACATCATGCATTTTCTGAGCCATTCTGAGCCAATTTTCTTAGTGCCAATAACTTTCTTCCCTTTCTTTAAAAGTTTACTTGGAAATCCAAGTTCTTTGATAGATTGAGCTTATTTGCCCTGTCTGCTGAACAAATGCCTCATTTATTTATTGACTTTAATGTATAACTGAGACTGTAGATAGAGGTACTTTGCCACATTTTCATCAGTTTATATTTCAGGTTCTTTAAAATAGAAAGCAGTTCACTGAAATTCCTGTTTATCTTACTGAAAATTTGTATTTTCTCATTTACCTTTTTCTCCCCCAAGCCTCCAAGGTGGTTCTATTTGTTTTCTTAAATTAACAGCCTTACTCAACTCAGTTTCTTATATAGTCTACTAATGAGTTCTTGTAAAATAACAATATTTCATTTGTTAAGCACTTAATGGTTTTTTGAAAGTGCTTTCCTCACAAAACCCTGTGATTCCGTTTTTGCAAGATAAAGCAACCAACTTATTAATGGTTAGTAGTAATATCAGGGGCAGTATTTGAACCCAGGTATCCTGCTATGGCACCCTGCCTCCTATACTTCTGTCATTCTCATAGACATTGGGGCCTCACACTTTGTGATAGTGGCTACAACATGCCTTTTAAGGGTATTTACTAGGCCAAGGCTTAAAGGCTTTATTAGTTGCTAAGCTTGAGGAAAGTGTGTAATGACTGACATTTGGTGTGTGAAATGTTTTATTGTTGGTTAATTTAAAAGTTCAGAATTCACTGTTCTGTTGATAATTCATCCATTTTACCCATTCTATACTTCACTGCTGTTTGTACCATTCTCCTTTCACAGACCCATCTAAGTAATAATACAGCAAATTTTAGTGCCTGGGAGTTTTTTGTAATAGGCTTTAACCTGTATCACAAATACTCCTTTTTCTGTACACATGCTGGTATAACACATTTGGAATTCCCAACAGTGAAAGCTTCTCTTGACAAGTTCTGTTCAAGATTTGGAGAATTGGGGTGCCTGCGTTTTGGTAAACTTGGCTGCTAATAGCCAAACAAATTTTATGCTGATATCATATGGCGAGATAGGATTCTACTCTCCAAAATTTTTTCTTTCTTCCATATGAATATGTGGCATTATAGAAAATTCTGAAGAGTCTTCAGTAGGTATTAGGAATTAGAGAAAGTAGAAGAGAATACTTCCATGACACTGAACTCATAGATTCAGTGGTGCTTAGGCAGGTGTTCCACTTCTTTATACTTGGAAATTAGCATGATTTTGTCCATAAAAAAAAAAAGGCTAAAACTTATCTCTCACAGAGCAAGGAGCTTGCTTGGTGGGAATAGCTTATGAGAATGCTTCCCAAGGAGTTAACAGTAAACTACAGAAATGTTCAGGTGTACATATGCAGAGATGGTCAATCAGATTTGACTAATGCATTCATTTGTATGTACAGCTATGAAACATGTAAGTTACTTTTTAAAAAGTTATAGGGAAGATACTGACATGGAGTAATTTTCTTTGCCTTATGTGGTAAAAAACAAGACTAAATTGCTAACCATATTTACTGTTTCACATTACATCTTCTGTTGTAAGAAGGTTAATTATAATGGCTCCATTTCCACTGTCAGTGTTTTTATTGTAATTCAACACTTGATAGATACATGGAGTAGTTGAAGTACTTCTTTTAGCCACTGTATGACAAGATGTGGTGTTCTTTTGCAAATTGTGGTGCTTACTTACATTATCACAAAGTAAGTTTTTTTTTTAATTCTTCTGAAGAGACCTATTGTGAGACAGAAGGTAGACTTGTATAAGTTCCAAGTAAAAATTCTCTACTGTTTTTTTCCTACCTCAAAAATGGTAACCTTTTATAATGTTAACCATTGCTAGTTGTTCAGATGTTGTAGTTTTAATTGGAAAATGTTACTAGACATAGAACTATCTAGGCCAGTTATTCCTGTTGACATATACTCTAAGCAGTGACAGTACATATGAAATGAGCATTCCTAGAGTTCAGATCAGCTACCCTGAATGCAGACCATTTTGACTTTAGAAGATCATGTCCCACATCAATGGTAACCTTTCTCCAAAAATCAGAAGGCTCATTTGGATGAGGCTTTTTTGTCCAGTGGGGTAAACTTAAAGGTTGCTAAAATCCCAGCAAATGCCTCCTACCTGGCTTTTTGAATGCCTATTTCCAAGTGTAAACACCTTATCTCTTTTAATAGTGTCACAGGATCATAGTCCAACCCCCTCATTTTACAAAGGAGGAAAGAAACCAAGATCTAGAGAGTTCATATGCCTTGTCCAAGGGCACACAGATTATAAACTGCTGACTTGGAATTTCAGCTCAGGCCCTCTGATTCCTAATCTAGTGCCCTTTCTGCAGTCCAGTTCTGCCACTCAGTAGTCTAGTGGTTTGTTGGATTGCTTTTCCTTTCTTTCCTAACACTGATTGGTGTCATAACCTTTATCCACTGCTTAGCTCCCTTAATTATGGCTGCTTCTGATTTTATCAAGTAAACCTACCGTCTTACTCCCATTTCATTTATGTAAAATCCCAAATGTGTGATTATTAATTTAGAGAGCATTTAGTATCTGCCTATAAAGCTTCCCTCCTTCCCCCCAAATATAGTGGTTGAAGTGTCACGGACTGTCCATTTCAGTCTAGACTAACATTTGTCTTCCTGTATGCACACCAGTCAGAGTCTTTCTGTTTCTTTATTAACTCTTCCCACCTCTCCACAGTCCAAATCCTTTGCTTCTTTTTAAGCCATCCTGAATACCCACTTCTTCATTCTTCCCTTTTTCTAATTTTTTAGAATAGTCTAGCAATATGTGTATCATTAGTATCATTCTCTGCTTTTTGGAAACTACATACATACATACATACGTACACACACTTGTGGCTTGTCTCAATAACTGAATTATAACTTATTGCTTAGGAACTACTTAAAAAACCTCAACTAGTGGTGCTATGCGTATACTGGGTGCTTAATAAACACCAATTTAGATAAAGTTTTGTCATACTTTTGACTGTCTTTTGAAATTAAAACCCTTGTTTGAGTGTAGTTGCTTAATACCATTTTAGTAGCAGTGAAAGATCTGTGACTGCATTGGAACTTTCAATACAAGAACTCCCTCCGCCAGTGATATAGACATGAAGTGACTTGCCCAGAGTGACATGAGTAAATGTAAATGTTTCAGGCAGATTTTGAACTCAGGTCTTCTAACTCGTAAGTGTTAAATAGTCACAAAAGACAAAATCTTAGTAGAGATTTTCATCAAAGGGAGTAAGCTAGCCTAAATAGTAGAGCAGCAATCTGTCCTGTGGTTTTATTTCACCATTTAGTCACATTCTTACTATTTGTTTTGGGCAGGATGTATAGAATATAAGAGCTCTAGCTATGAAGGAATACTAGAGACCATCATAGTTTAGCCTCTTTATAGATAATGAAGTCTCAAAGAGGTGACTTTTCTATTGTCCCCCCTACTCCTACTTCAGCTGCTAGAGCCTTTGCCTCAAAAGTTAACTTCTGCCTATTCTATATGTGTATTGTATGTACTTATTTATTTGCATGTGGTCTCTTCCATTAGAATGTGAGCTCCTTGAGGGCAAGGACTGTTTTTGCTATTCTTTGTATTCCAGTGCCTGGCCTATAATAAGCACTTACTGAATTCTTATTTGACTGATTAAATAATAGGTCCTCTTTCCTTTGTGCCACATACTTCATTTTCCTATTTTCTAATCTATAGTATCTATCTCAGTGTTATTGCTATTAAAAGTTATCCAGAACTTTGACATCCATATATGGGTCTTAAAACTACCATTAGATCTAGAAATTTTTGCTCTTTCTTAGAGGTTTTTTCATTATTCCTACCATCACTCCCCTCTTCCCACCTGCAACTCTCTAAAGTGTTTGCGGTTAATAGAACCTGCTGTAATGATTTTGTTGTTCCCAGATGACTTAGAGATATATTAATGTCCATTAGTAAAGAAGCAAAAGATGAGACTTAAAAAAAAAACATTCTTATTGTTTCTGACTAAATAGTAAAATATGAGTTATAAGCAATAGATTTTAAAGTGACAAATTAGAAATATTAGAACCCCATATTTTGTAAAAAAAAATTAAAATTTTAATTTTGAGAGTTAGATATGTGGTCATATAGAAATCTATGTAAGAAGGAAAAAAAGCATTTAAGACCTCACTATCATATTATTTGGGCCAAAACTATATTTTGCTTAAATTGCAAAGATAATCAGATTTTTTTTTTTTGGTGATACAATTGGGGTTAAGTGACTTGCCCAGAGTCACATAGCTAGTAAGTATTATGTGTCTGAGATCAGATTTGAACTCAAGTCCTCCTGACTCCAAGGCCGGTGCTCTATCCACTGCACTGCCTGATAATCAGATTTTTTGAAACCTAAAATATTAAAACCCAAAATTTGATGTTGGTCTTTCAGTCTTTTTCTTTTTTGGCTGAGCAGGAGTGTCTTCCTGTAGACGTTCTGTTTCAGAATGCAATGTACAGATTTCTTTAAAGAAGTAGCTGTAAGAAGAAAACGTCATTGGGATCCGAAGGCAGCAATCTAAAACTAGAACAGAGGGAAGAGTCCCAATTGTTTACTTGTTTCACTTCTCTATGAGCTTTATTTTTCCAGGTGCTGCATTTGCTACCATGCCTCCTGGTCTGTAAAGCTA